AGGAGGAGGAGGAGGAGGAGGAGGAGGAGGAGGAAATATCCGCCAGTCGGAATGTCTGACCGCCTCAGTGAGGAAACAGTTTTGAAATGAGCCTAACGATGCCTAAACTCGCACAGTATCAATTCAGATAAGTTAGTTTGTTTAAACTGTGTCCTATGGGTGAGAGGCGGGCAAGATCAATTAAATGCCAAGACAAAGAAGTGATTGCAGGATCTCCTTGCACCACAACAATCGTTTTCTCGCATCCCCTTTTTATTCACATATCCACACAGAATGACAAACAAAGCAGCCCATTAGGCAGGACTTAGAACATTAGGAAGGGCGAGGGAGTTTGCAGACGGATCCACAATCCGCGTCACTGATTGGCTACCGAGTCAAGATTGCTCTTCAGGCGAAGGAACGAGGAAGTGCATGCGACTTCAGCTGTTCAACCACAGTCAACCTCCTGGCCACGGGCACCACTCCTGACCGATGAAGGCATCAGGAGGCAGAAAGGCCAAAGGAGGAGAGGAGGAGGGGGCTAAACTCCACCGCCACTCATCAGATACACGCGGATCCAAGTAGCACAGAGGCAGAGAACTGTAAAGAGTACCGCATTATCAGAGTACCACATGTAAAACACATAAACAATGTCACAGCATTTGACAGGTGTTGACAACTTGCACTAAGTTTGTGTGACATTTTGTTGTGCCAAATAAAAAGAGAACATTTTAAACGCCTTGATCCTCGGATTACGAGGATGTCATCATCCTCGTAATGTAGAGGAGGGACCGAAGGAGGACAGAAGGAGGAAGCAAAGCGACGCCATTAAGTTTTAACTTTCTAGGATGAAAATTTAAATTTTAAGCTGCTACGAAATTTGAACAACAACTTCTCCGCCTGTCACAACGGGAGGCAACTTTTAAGTGTTCCACAACGTCTCTAGCTTACTCAAAAAAATTAACCAGAAAAAAATATACGATGGAAAAATGGAGAGACTTGTGGCACTGGAAAGATAAAAAAAACCTCAAAATTTGGTGTTTTTCATGTGTCTGAGCTGTGCGCCCGAAAACCAGACGATTGAAGTTGGCACACCGCACTTTTTACCTTCCCCTTTGGCTCCCTTTTGTCCCCGTGTTTTACCCGAACACTCCAGAGGCACAGAAAAAAAAAATACGGAAAGAAAGATTACAGGAAAAAATGGATCTCAGCAAAATTCCACACACAGCAAATTGCGAATGGAGACGGTGAAGACTTTGGGGATTTTGAGCCACAAAAATGCTGTCTGATGCTTTGGTGGAGCAGCAACAAGTTGGTGGAAGAAATGTTGATCACTTCGTCCACAAAGTTCTTCCACCGATCACCTCTGCCTGAGGTTGACAATTTTGCGTCCACGTGGGATCGCGTCCAAACACCGACCGGATGGGAGAGCGCGAGTCGTGCGACAGAAGTGAAGAAGGTCTCCAATAAAGCCACCTATCATGATTGTGTGGACTACTTCTAATTACCCTCCTATTTTTAGCAATGGAGGCTATAATTACGCACATTTGATGAGATTTGGGTGAGTTCAGTGCTGTAACTGAGAAGTTGGTTCATTTTGGAGTGCCATTTTTGATCATGCATCGGAGGATGAATGACTATGAGAGGAGGAAAGTGTCCATGAGGGAATGGATTAAAGGTGACATTATTTGGGTAAGAAAAAAAAAGGAAGTCCGTCAGACAAGTCAAATGGTAATTTATTGAGCGGATAGGATGATGTTGAATGGAGAGCAAATAAAAAAAGACAATGAAGGGGATGAAGATGTCACCTCGTCACCTGATTGGTCAGACTGGCATTCACAGTGGAGGTGGCGTTGGTGAACGCGATTAAGGTGAGGTGGAGAAAAGTATAAAAAAACTACGTGCCTCCCTTGATTGGCGTCACATCAACCTCAGCACCACTGCCTTCTACGCATTCTACATCCAACACAAAGCTAACACCTACACACACGCATTGCCCCACCATCATCGGCATGACCGACACACCTTTGCCAAAATGTGCTCCCCTACACACACACACACACAATGAATGTGTGGACTCGTAGAAGTTGGTGTGTGGGTGAGGGCAGACGTAGCATCGCGATAGGGGAGGTGCATGAAGGGGACTGAGGAAGAAATGAGGTGAGGAGTGTGTGTCACTTGCATCACAGATCTGAGTTCTCATGAATTGCTCACCTCTTCGTGACACGACCAAGCGGTGTGGGTGGCTGGAAGAGGTGGTGGTAGCGGAGGTGATGTGGAGTGTGCGGCTTGTCGTCCGACTGCGACCACCGAATGTGTGGCGAGGCAAGTGTGGATGTGGAGTTCGTGGTGATGCGCGCATGTGGTGCTTGTGGGGGTGGAGGTGGCGACGGCGGCAGCGACGGCGGCAGCGACGACGATAGCATGTGGCATTGAAAGGTGTGAGGCGGATGTATGGGGGAGGGTGGAGGAGTGATGTCAGGTGAGGCGAGCAGATGCGACATGATGAAAGAAATGAGGTGCGAGTGAGTGGGTGAGTTAGTGGGTGAGAGGGAAGGAGGGGGAGGAGGAGGAGGAGGAGAGTGGGGAAGTGGAAGTGAGGAATGCGAGTGTAGGGTCAAGTGGATGTGAAAATAGTGGTATTGGTACGAAGTGGGACAAAAAGTGCCACTCCATTCAGACAGTCGCGCCAACACCGCCACCACCACCACCAGCACTTCTTGTGGTGTTGGTGGTAGTGTCGGTAGCAGCAACAGTGGCAGCG